TGAATGAGTCTTCCTGATTTCAAGCCCAGCGCTCTATCCTCTGTGCCACCTAGCTGCCCTGTATTTCATCTAAGCATGGGTGAAAGGGTTTGGTGGGATGCACCCAGGTTAAAGAGCCAGAAGTCCTAGGAAATGCAAGGAATTGCTTGAGAAAACCCTAGTTTAGTATGTTAGATTTAGCCTTTGATGGTCCGTTTAAAGTGAATACTTTTCATCCATCAGGATGTTTTCGTAGGTTAATTTCATGTTGCAGATGATGACCCCCCCAAAAAAACAAACAAACAAACACAAAACCTGATAGACTACAGGAACTTTTCCCCCCAAACCTTCCATCTCACTCCTTATCTGGACTAACTGCTATCTGATAGAAAGCAAAGTAAAGCCATTGTTCTTTTCTCCTGGTTTGCCACTGTGGTTATTTGCTGTGGACATGGGAACATGTAACTTTCTGCAAAACTGGAGCGCTGTGGTAGAACCACTTTTCTCGGAACTGAGATGGGGTTGGCTTGACTGTGAGTGATGTATTAGGCATGTGGAAAATAAAGGCCTTCGAAGCTTAGAAAACTACATCAGGAAACTATATTTAAAGTTTGTTGCCATGTATTTCCTCCTTGCAGCCTGTGGTGTGGTGGATAGAGTGCTGGGTCTGGAGTCAGGAAGACCTGATTTCAAATTTGGACCCGGACGCTTCCTAACTCTATGATCCTGGGCAAATTACTTAATCTCTCTCTGCATGTTTCTTTAACTAAAATGAGGATGATAGCAGTTCCTACCTCCCACGGTTATTGTGAGGATCAAATGAGATAATATTTGTAAACTACTTAGCACACACAGTGCCTGGCACACAGTAGGTACTATATAAATGCTTTTTTTCCCTCCTGTCCCCCATAAGGGAGGATATCTAGATAGACTAACTCTGATGAGGTTTGAGAGACACACATGAGCCAGATGACTGTTGGAGCTGAACTATTCAATTCAAGTTTCTAGAACAGCTGCCAGTATGTCTCTCCCACCACTGAAATAAGTATGTAATATAGCCCCTGTCTTCATGGAACTCCCAGTTATGTTGAGGAGATGCCTATCTTGTGTGAAAAGATTCTAGTTCTATTACAGTATAAAACCTAATATAATCAGGTGTCCAGACCCATGGCACTGAAAGTGTTGGAGATGTTGCATGGGGAAACATGACCTGCCTTTGGACCATCTTGTCACTGACTTTACCTTCTTTTAATGTCTTTGATTCAGTTCAGTTTGGTGAACACTTAATGCAGACTATGGAAGACACGGTACTAGACACTAATAAGAACTTTCTGTTTAGCTTCTCATGTATTTTTGAGTATTTCAGGTTAGTAAGCCCAGTGTAATGTATCCCTAGAGATGACTGGGTTAACCTTGAACATCACCATTGTTGGTATGGTGTTTGCCATCATGACTGTTGTAATCAGGGTACCACGTTCTGCAGAATTGCTGAGTCTTTCTAGGATTTTCTATTTGGGCCAATTTTAGCTGCTGCTATTTTGCTGTGCTGACTGGTGGAAGCTGAAATATTGTCCAGCACTGTTTTTACAGCTGCTAGGGTGGTTCATCATCTGTTTCTATGACTTTTGGCCATCCTATGTGTTTGTTTGTTGCTGTGCAAAAGGATTTCATGTCTTCCTAGCTTTTCAAGTATAGGATACCCATTTGCCTTTACAAGTTCACGATAGATAATACTTTCCCAAACTGCTGTTTTGTAGCAGGACTGCGCAACTGAGTCCAATTATCTTATCATCATGTGTTCTCATTCTACCCCAACTCACCCACAGCTGACACACAGATGGTGATACTGGGGCAACTACAAGAATCTTCTGGGCTAAAGGACAGTGACCTCTGGAGAAATGTTAAATATATAGCTTATTGCATCATATTCATTTGGTGCTTGGTATAAGAAAGAGCATTGGTGGAAGCAAAGAAGTATTTGGCTTACTTTTCCATGACTGCATTAGAGAGTGACTTAGAAGTAGCTTCAAACTAGATGCCAGATTAGGACACTTTGAACATTATCTGGCTTGTTGGAATCTAGTTCAATTCAGCGCACTTATCAAATTCTGTATATGTGCAGGACACTGTGCTAGGGTGCTTGAGATGCAAAGAGAAAATGAAAGATAGTTTCTTCCTCCAAAGCTTATATATTCTACTGAGTAGATGAACATGTGTGCAAGTGACTTAATGCTACAAAGGACATACAAAGAAGCAAAGCAAGAGAGAGTGCAAACACGTTCTAATAATTGAAACAGATAAAGAAAAACCCTCTGTAAAAGGAGGAACTAGGGCTGAGTTTTAACAGAAACGAGGGCTTCTGCAAGACATAGGCAGGGAAGGACTGCACTTTAGACAGGGGAAACTCTGTGAACAAAAGCGTAAAGTCCAGAGATGAGACATTGTGCATGGGGAACAGATAGAAGGTCAGTTTGATAAGAACAGAGAGTATAAAAAGGAGGAGCCAGATTATGGAGGGCTCTGAATGCCAGGCTGAGGATTTAGTATTTTATCCTCCAGGCAGTGGACTTTGAGTAAGGGGTAACATGGTCAGATCTCTTCTTTAAAAACACTTCGATTTGGTGGCTCTGTAGAGGATGGATTAGAGGAAAGAGACTAGAGTAAGGTAAGTTAATTACAAGGCTTTGAATATGGAAAAAAATTGACTAAAAGCTATATTGTTTTAGGAAGCATTCAGACTTGAAATACACTTTCACATGTATCTAATATCATGTTGTATATATCACTATATACTTAGGAAATTTCCATCTAATGATGATTGTAGACTGCCCACTTCTTTTTTTTACCGGTGTAATCTGTGGCATTTAAGTGAGCTGTCACACAGTATGCCGGCATGCTTTGTTATTAAATCGGTTTCTTCATCTTGGTACTTTGGCAGTCTGTTAACCTGAGTCAAGTGGATGCAAGAGACTTAAAGGGACTTCTGAAATCGTGCAGCCATCTCTCAATTGTAGTAGAAGATAGGTACGATCTCATTCACTGAGATCCACAGATCGTCATAAATCCACATTTTAGCCAACAGTTTCGGTCTCATCTAAGCCATTTGCTTGAGTTGGTGAGAAGGAACCAGCTTAACTTTTCTCTTTCCTTACCTAACAAGGAGTAAATTGGCTAAAAAGGCAAATATCACAGAGGACAAAAAAGAGAACCCAACCACCATAATTATGTCATTCATTTATAAAGCGCTTTCCTCACAACAACCCTATGAGGTAGGGAGTGCAAATATTATTATTTTCATTTTATAGATGAAGAAATCAAAGCCCAGAGTAGTTAAGCTGCCTGTCCTGATCATTTCACAGCTAGAACTCAGACAGGTCAGAACTCACACCTGGGTCTTAAAACTCTTTCCACTAGCTCATGCTGTCCCAGAAGGTCTTGTAGAAATAACAAAACTAGATCATTTTTAAATAATTGAGACTTGACTTTCACAGTATTTCTTTCAGTTTTGTTTGACTTGGAATATTTGTTATAGAAGAGTATTTTGTACATGAGTGTGTTGTAGAAAGTATTTCTCGGCCTTTTCACTCTGAGAATTTTATGTAGAGACCATGCTTCACAAGAAGTACTTATTTATCCTTCTTAAATGGTGTTGACAGTAGATTTCTAAATTTCAGTCTGTTGTGGTTTACATTTTTGGACTGAAATTCCTTAAATCCTTCTACATACACATTAACCATGTCCTAGGACTCAATCTGCCTTTCAACTAGCTATGTAAATCATAACTTTTCTCCTGGCTTTAGTTTTCTCTTTTGTGAAATGAGAGGAGATGAGCTTAGTGATGGCTAAGGTCCCCTCTTGCTCTGAGTCTATGATCTTAGAATCTTCCAGTTGTAATATTTGATGTTCTGGGCTGTAAAAATTTACTCATCATGCTCATCTCTCAGTAGACTCAGTTATTCCAGAAGCTTGAATGGTAACTATCCTTGTCCTCTTAAAGTGTTGGATCTGAATGTGAAATCTTAGAGACCAGCTAGTTCAACCCCTCTCATTATACAGAACAAGAAATAGTCCTAGGGAGGTGAAATGATTTGCTTATGATATGGCAGGTAGCATCAAAAAATATCTCTGGAACTCAGCTCTTCCAACACAAAGATGAATTTACTACCTTAGGTAGATGCATGCTATCATGGACACAGTGCACTAATTAATCGTTGACTTTGCTTGGGGAGGAGAGATGTCATAGTGTTTGCCTCCTTGAACATAGTGTGGTCCTAGAGAGATAAAAAGTTTTCTTCCATATTGTTTTTGGAGGATTGGGTGGAGAAGGGGGAGGAATCTGCTACCTGAGCATGCTACTTAGGAAAAAGTTGGTAAGTTCCAGGTTTAATATATCATTTGGGAGAGGCAGGTGGAGGAAATTTTCCTGGAAGGAATCAAGGGCAAGGAAGTTAGTTGTCCAGAACAACCCCCTGAGTGGTTTGGAAGCAAAGGCTAAGGAGCCGCTTGATCCTAATCCTTAATCCCTTTGAAGTCTCTGAGGAGGAAAAGGAGTGTGTTGGAGGTAGATCTCTGTAACATTACATATGACCATTTTAGTTAAGATGCCAGAATGCTCAAAGAGTCAGGTTTGTATGTTTCCTTTCTTGGCTATGTTGGTTTGAAAAAAATGGAACAATGTCGACTGTTACTGACTGAGGCTAGAGGACTCGATTTTCAAACAAGGAAATGCTCGCTTCTAACTAATGGTCTTCTCTGAGTGTGTCAGACAAACATAATGACATTAAGATTTGTTTCTTGACTAAAGTTTACCCAGAGATGAAAATTTTTTTATTCAGTAAATTCCAGTCACTGAAAGAAAAACAAAAACTCTCTCTCACTTACATATGTTCTTTTTGACCTAGGCAACAAGACTGAATCTGCCTCTCAGAGCCATCAGCATTTTATTAAGCCTTCGAACTAAAATCTTTACGCTTGATTTCCTGCATTGTTTTCAAAATGTTGTATTTTTTTTTCTTTTTCAGTCCCTCCAGGAGTAATACAAAATGGAACCCGGGTTCTGAGTCGAGGTATATTCCCTGGAGTTAGAGCACTGCCAATCCACCCCATCGGAATGGCGGCTGCTGGGAGGTAAGTGATGGCGATGATACCTGTAGGGTAAGTCGGCAAACAGACTTGAAGGCAGCCCTGACTTTTCCACAGTGGAAATCTGGTTATATAGGAGAAGAATAACCACCAAATAGCTTTAACAAATCTAGCTTTGTTTTCCTAAAGGGTTAAAATAATTCTCAATGTTTAGAATGAAAATACTTTTTGTGTGGGGAAGGTTTATCCAGTGTATTTTTCAGGCAATCAGATCCTTGGGCTTCTAATCTTTTCAGCTGAAGAAACTAAAATAAAGGGGGGGTTCAACATGTCATACACACTTACTCTGAGAAGATTTAGAAGCAGAGATCTGTGAGACATGCAGGAAGTCTTTCCTTCCAGTAAGGACTCTTCTATCTTAACGCCTATAAAGGTCAGATAATACTTTATTCCAGCCATTCTCCTTCCACACTGGCGTGTGTTTGTTCTCATAGAACTTCTTTTGACCCACTGGAAAAAGTGAAGAGCAAGGTTGCTTCTGTGTGCATCCTGCTATTTAAGGTTTTTATGCAGCTCAGAATACTGATGGGTTTCAATGACTGCTGAGGTCTTCTGAAACCCAGTTTTGCCACGGTGTAAATAATAACAGAGAGGAAGCTTGGCATAATGGTTAGAGAGCTCACCAACTCGGGAAGACCTGGGTTCAAGTCTCACTTTGATCTCTGAAACATACTAACATTTCAGGGTTCTAAGAAACTTTTAAAGGATCTTAAGTTGCAGGAAAGGTGCCAGCCTGGATTAGTAAAGGGAGTTTGCTCACCTAAGAGCTCCCCATACCAATGAAATCTCAAGACCTATATTCCTATAGATAATAACGTGATTTTTGAGGGAAGGGAAGAAAAGAGTAGGATGTGAAAAGGAAAGAGGGTAATAGGGAGGAAGGAGAATGGGGATTGGAAAGAAGCCTGTGTTATGTCTACTAATCATAATGCTGGATTGCTTTGAAAATAAACATGGCTCAGACAGGCCCTTTTCTTATAGTTCTCTATCAATAGGTCGTGCTTATCCTTAGATTAATGATCTTAACCCTGCTCCATAAAGTAGGGTTACTGATGTTCATGCCTCAGGTTGTGAATGGCCTTTGATTTCTTGTTCTTTTGTTATAAAACATTTTTTTCAGGCCCCTCTAATTTTCTCTCTCTCTCTCTTTCCTTCCTTGGGCTATTTTAATAACATCTATCCATTTTCATTAACAAAACTAAACATAGATTTCTGCCAGAATATTGATCATTCTTAGATTTGATCCAAGGTAACATTCTTACTAGGAAGAAGACGAAATCTGTAGACGAGGAATTGCCTTCCCCAAAACGTAGAGAAGAAGGTGACCTCCAGCAGGAGCTGAATTAAACCCTGCTGGTTTTAATTGTTACCTTCACATCCTGTCTTCCTTGCAAATTTTAATAATCACTGTCTGTAGTCCCATTTGCTTTGGAATAGTGAGAATATTTGGGTTGAGAGGTGGCAGAGTGTTTGAAAGTGTTGACACAAAAAACTGTTAAAAAGCACCTTTATAATAAATGCCAGGAAATCTAAAGAGAAACAAAAGAAATAGAGTGTTTCCATTTTACTCTGCCCGTGAATTGAACATTCTGAAACATGTTGGTCAGGGAAGATTTACCTTGGCTGGGTGGCAGACCTTATGAATTCGGAGTTAAATTGTCCAAGATAAACATGTAATTAGGGTTTCAGAACCCAAGACACATATACCGTGTCTTAGAATAGAGTTTTTAATGGATGAAATTCTGCCTCCGAAAAGGTACATTGGGAAGTGTTTGAAAAGTATCCTAATTTACCTCTTTCATACCAATTATAATTGTCCATCATTTATCTTATTTCCCTTTTTGAAAATGTTTGTTTTTGTGGTGTAGTCAAATGAGCCTCAAGACCAGCTGAAACTAAGAAAAATTAAAATACAAGGTGGCAGGTGAGGGGATAAAGAATAGGAAAAGGAGACAGAGTCAATAAATGGTCAGAATTATACTGGGACCTCAGATAAACACACCTGGAAGGGACCAGGGGTTTTTGCAGTTGTAAACAAGAAAGGGGGCCGTTAGGAAGATTCACTAAGGATCTATTTCCTGCTCTGTTTCTCATGATGGAACGTGTCTCTGTATGTATGTGTGTTTTTGTGCAAATGGCTTATTCTTAAGTGAAAACATTTTCTTTGTGGAAGGGCTTTTCTCCCTTTGCTTAGTGTCATGGGCCATGTTTGTTTACCTTAACTCTGAAGCTGCTATTGATATAGATGAAGTGTTATTTTATTACCTGATCATTACCCAGCTTGTGTTTGCTGGATTCTTCTGCATATAATTATGATGTAAAACCTCCTTGTTTAAGAGTATCTGTCAATAGCATAATTGACTTCACTCTGTTGACTTTTTACACAGTAACTCCAGATATTGGCCCATCATAATACATATGAAACCTGCCTGTTTTTAATTTGCCTGGGAGCATATTCCCCATAACACATTATGCTCAAAATAACTCCTGACATCCTTCAGCCTTAAGTCATCTGAGTCCTCTACAACTGTCTCAGTTGAGTGTGTTGTAGCAAATAACATTGGGTAGAGCAGAGGCTACTGTAAAATGGGAGGGGAGGTATTTCTTACATTTTGAAAGGTGAAGAGGTCCCAAATATTTTAAAATCATCACTGGAAAATTCTGTATTCAGGAGCTTCACTGATACCTCCAGTTCAGGACTAGTCAACTTCCAGACCTTGTCTAAGTTATTTTTGACCCAGGAGACTGTGGAGTCAAGTCACTTGAAGATTGGAGGGTGGAGGGGGGTCTGTTGGTGGAGAGTTACTAGTCGGATGATGGATGAGCAGCCGGTCCTTCATTTGGAAAAGGCAGAGGTTCTTAACCTGGACTATTGGAAGATATTTTCGAGCATCTGTGAATTTGAATAGGAAAACAGTTACATCTTTATTTTCACTAGCTTTTAACTGAAATTGAGCATTTCCTTCAAATTATTTAAATCTCTATTCTGAGAAAGTGTCCATAGGCTTCTTCAGACTGAAAAGAGTCTGCACTATAAAAAGGTTAAGAACCCCTTAGGGTAAGAATAACTTAGTAGTCGCCCTTGCTCCCCATCTACAACCCTGGCCTCAGTCTAGTACATAAGTTTTAGCATATTTAAGGAGAATGAAGGTTTAAATTGGATTACTTGTTCCACTTGGTTGCAACCTAGAACCTAGGCAGAAAGCACTCTGCATCTCTTTAGGCTCAAATGTAGACATGAGGGGGAAGCCATTAGTTTAGGACTGCTTGCTTTAGACTGACCTAGTTATTTTCCAAACTACGCTACAAAATTAAAATAAAATGACTGTCTACAATCAATCTCTTTGGAGGCTGCATGCAGTTTGGATGAGTGACATAAAATATTTCCCTCCATTGGCTTCAAAGAAAACATCTTAGGTACATAAACTCCAAGGGCATCAACCAAGGTTATAAGCCCAGGCCCTCCTGCAGTCAGTAAAACTAGTTTACAAGGGCAGCTAGGTGATGCAGTGGATAAGAGCTCCAGCCCTGAAGTGAGGAGGACCTGAGTTCAAATGTGGCCTCAAACCAAACCCTTGACACTTACTAGCTGTGTGACCCTGGGCAAGTCACTTAACCCCAATTGCCAAAAAAAACAAAAAACAAAAACAGCTAGTTTATAAAGTCATTGTCAAAAGGGAGCAATCAGATCAGCTGACCCCTTGTCCTAAGACCTGTCACTTGTCAATTTTCTTTGTTTTTCCATTCATCAGTATGTCCTGTTTGCTTCTAAAAAAAATGAGGTGTTCAATCTTGCTTATCATCCTGGGTCTGAGGTGCAGTAGTGCAGGGGTTTTTGGTATCATGAACCCCTTGGGTAATCTGGTAAAGCCTATGAACTGCTTCATAGAATCATGTGTTTAAATGCAAAATATAATACATAGGATTACAAAGGAAACCAATTGTGTTTGAATACAGTTATCAAATTAAAAAAAAAAAGCTCCTGGCCCCTATTTCTTTGGTAAGAGTAACTTAAGGGAAAGGCCCAGGTTAGTAGAGAAGGCCTATTTTTTAAGTTCAGTCTCCAATTTACCTGGTCTCCTTGATTCCTTCTTCAAGAAGGTAAATGGTAGAGGTCAGGACATAATTGGGCTTTTCAGTACAGTAGTAAGAGAAATTAAATATACAAAAAAAAAATGAATGGAGGACATTAGAGACAGTTTATTTTTTTAAAAAACCCAAGTATGATTTCCTTGTAATGTTGACATAAGAACTCATCTGTGAGTACTAGCAGACCAGATAGGTAGTAAAATGGATAGAGCATTGGACTTGGAGTCAAGAAGGCCTGAGTTCAAATCTTGCTTTAAATACTAAGCCATATAATCCTGGTCCAATCACTTATCTGCCGCAGTTTTCCTTACCTGTAAAATATCGATAATAGCACCTATCCTACAGAGCTGTTACGAGAACCAAATGAGCACTTGTATACAGTGCTTTGCAAACCTTAAAGTGCAATATGAATGTTAGCTATTGTTATTATCATATTATTATAGCAGTATATTAGTATACTAATAGATAACTAATAATATAGTGGCATAGTAATAATATACTGTTATTCTTATCATAAGAAATCATACTTTCTACAAGGCTGAAGGGGGTGGAGCAATAAGACAGAGGTAGAAGAAAAGTTTATGGGGTTAGGTTCCCAGCTAGACCCACTGCTCCCACCAAGCATTAAATTAACATAAGTAGCGTTCATTATATTTTGTGTTTCTGATTATTCTGAATTCTAAGCCATTACCAAAACTTTTCATATGTAAAATGTGACATAATGTCACACCTCTCTTCCAGATGTATGCCCACAGCCAGCCCCTGTATAAATCCTTCTGTTTGGTTTTTCTTGTTGTTGTTTTGTTTGGTTTTGGTTTTACTTTTTGGTGAGGCAGTCAGGGTTAAGTGACTTGCCCAAGGTCACACAGCTAGTAAGTGTTACGTGTCTGAAACTG